TGAATTCTGATTTTGAATGGTAAAAGAATGCTTGTTCAAGATAAAACTTTAAGAAATGAAGTAAGATCTTGTTCCATTATTTAAGACTCAGGCATCATTCAGTAGTATTGCCACACTGGCAAAAGAAACTGAATCTACAAAGTTTTTATTTCTTTTAAGTGAAATTAATTAATTTGATTTCTGAATTCCAATTTTCCTAGGTTGAATTAAGCACTATTGAAGAACAAGACTTGGGTTATACCGGTAACGTCAAGCCGCTGCTACAAGTCATGGTTAACAAATTAAGAGTCACACAAGTAGCATCATCGAAAACAAACGTATTCCAGATTGTTAACCAAATTAGGAGTCACTACGCAACTTGCTCTAAAAGTTGATGCTTCTCTTTATCGTTGGAGGGATTCAAGTCTGCCCAATGGACTAGGCTAAAATTAACTACGAAAATTCAAGAATGTTGACGTTGATCGGGTGGATTGGGAAAGGGGGTGGAGTAATTTGTCTTCATGATCACCATACATATTACATCATATGTAAGTCTTTTTAGAAAAGTAGTCCATAAAGATCTTTTTAAAAAGGTTAAAACCTTATTTTGGTCCCTCAATTATTATATGAACTCCCGATTTGATCCTTGCACTAAAAAAATCCTTGATTTGGTCCCTACTGTTTACCATTTTGACCCCGATTTAGTCCTTCCGTTAAAAATTGATTGATGTGTCCCATTACCTAACGGAAATAGATGACAGCATAGCAAAAAAAGAATTATATGGCAAAAAAAAGAATGACATGGCAAAAAAAAGAATGACATGGCAAAAAAAAACCTTAAAATATTTCTTCTTTTTTTTTCCTTTCATCTTCTTCCTTCCCTTTCGCTTTCTGCAAACCCTAACACCTTCTAACATTAAATCAAAAAATAATACAAACCCAAAATCTCCCCAAACCAGTCACTGCGCTAAATTCTTTCTTTCAACCTTCCCAAAAAAACTCAGAAATATCATGACATATTTTTTCAAAATTCAAGCTTCTAAACATAAATATTAAAAAAAAAAAAAATCGAACCCTCGCTGGGTTCTTGATCGAACCCAGTGATCTGCTGGGTTCTCGATCTGCTGGGCAAATTTTTTCCCTCAACCAAATTTTGCCAAATTCTCAATGAGAACAGCCCACACAAACAAAATATTCACTAGCAAAATAATCAGCTGCAACCCAAAAATATTCATAAAATTCAAGCTTCTAAACATAAATATTTAAAAAAAAAAAATTAAACCTGGCAAATCGAGAACCTAGCAGATCGAAGAACCCAGCACGCTAGCCTGGGTTCGCACCGAACCCACACGCTTGGGTTCCTTGCGAACCCAAGCGCTGGGTTCGCAAGGAACTGAACCCAAGCGTGCTAGGTTCCATCAAACCCAGGCAAGCGTGCTGGGTTCGCAAGGAACCCAGTGCCTGGGTGGGTTTGAAGGAACCCAGGCCTGTTGGGTTCTGAGGGGAAAGAGAAGGGAAAGGAGAAGGGGAAAGAGAAAGAGAAAGGGAAAGGAGAAGGAGAAAGAAAAAAGAAAAAAAGAAAAAAAAATTTATTTTTTATTTTTTATAATATTTTTTTATATTATTTTTTTTTCCACATCATCACTTTTTGACTATATTATCTTCCACGTGGACTATTATATGACATGCCATTTGATAACCATGAAGTAACAAGCCACGTCACATAATTTTTAACGGAAGGACCAAATTGGGGTAAAAATAGTAAACAGTAAGGACTAAATCAGGGATTTTTTTAGTTCAAAGATCAAATCGGGGGTCCGTACAATAATTAAGAAATCAAAAAAGAATTTTAACCTTTTAAAAAAGATAGTGTTAGGTGATACATAAACCGTACTGAATCCGTAATCTTATAGAATATTCTTCGTCAACCCTTAAAAGAATGAATTGTATTAAATATATATTTTTATTATAAATTTATATTAAAAAAATAAAAATAAAATTTTAATTTATTAATTATTTAATTA